TATAAATGGTCACATTTCCCAAGAAAAGTATATTCTTTGCTTGATACATTATGCAGAATAGCATTTATTTATTTATTTATTTATGCAATAGCAAGACATGGGTATATGGAAAATCTCAGATGAATTGGAATTAAAGCTCAAAGCTAAAGGTATAGTAAATTAACCAAAATAGGCTCCTAAATTTCATATTAAAAAAAAAAAGAATATATGCTGAATAATAATGAAAATATAGCTTTGAAAGTAATGGCAAAAACTTTTACACTTAGAGAAGCTGAAAAGAGCTGATACTACAGTGAGTAATCAGATTATACACCAACACACAGTGGTATGAGTGCATGCACACATGCACTTGGAGTTTCACATAGGTGATTTGGAGATTTTGCTAATCTCTGCCAGAGCAATCATTCAGATTTTGTTGTATAATAAAAGTTTATGGAGATTCTCAGTCATCAGCCAGGACATGGTTGTCCCAAATGTGTTTTTTCAGGAGGCAACTAGACTTTCTTGTTTGTTTTTTTCTTTTGAAGACATTTCACTTCTTATCCAAGAAGCTTCTTCAGCTCTGACTGGATGGTGAGGAATGGAAGGATTATATTCCTTGCAGACAGCTGGTCATTTGCATTGTTTTTAGAGAGTTGTTGAGGCCACTTGGAGGTTTATCTGTATCCTCAGGGTCATCTGAGTAGTGGAAATGGGTGCGGAACCTTCTTGGCTGCAGAATGTTTTCTGCCCTGTGTCCCTTCACTGTTGAAGATAGGTGCAGGCTGCAGAGGTTGAGTCTGTGTTGTCTGCATCTCAAACTGAAGGGCAAATGGTTCCTGTAGTCTGCAATTTTGAGGGGAAATCTGTTTATACACCCACACCATTCAAAGGGTGTTCATCCCAAAGTGCATAGCTAAAAGTATGAAGGTTCTTAGTCATTCAAGTCATGGTTGTCTCAAGGGTGCTTTTTTGCTGTATAGTAATGTATTAACCATAGAGACGCAGTGGTTCAGTGGCTACGATGCTGAGCTTGTTGATCAGAAAGGTTGGCAGTTCAGCGGTTCGAATCCCTAGTGCTGCATAATGGAATGAGCTTCCGTTACTTGTCCCAGCTTCTGCCAACCTAGCAGTTCAAAAGCATGTAAAAATGCAAGTAGAAAAATAGAGACCACTTTGGTGAGAAGATAACAGGGTTTTGTGTGCCTTCAGCATTTAGTCATGCCAATCACATGACCATGGATACGTCTTTGGATAGCACTGGCTCTTCGGCTTTGTAATGGGGATGAGCACCGCCCCCTAGAGCCGGAAACGACTAGCATGTATGTGCGAGAACTTTTACCTTTACCTTAATGTATAAACCAGCCTGATTTTTTTTAAAAAGTCACTAAAGTAACCAATTATTTACCAGATCATACAGCATGGTAAGACATGTTTTAACTCTGAGAATGCAAGAAATAGAAGAAATGACTCCAAGCCATGGATGAACTCTAAGAATACAAAAAATAAAAAAAGGAATTGTTTTGAGCTTGGAATAAAATTGTTTCACTTGATAGATTCTTGTTTCATTTTGTTAAGGACTGAGATCTGCTATTAATTGACCCTTGCAGGAATAGATTATTCCAAAAAAGAAAATGAAACAATATAGCACTGCTACCCCAGACTCAGTTAGAAAATAATTCCTGCTCAATTTATATTCAAAGTGTAAAACAAAAGAATGTATACTCCCTTAGATCAATCTTTTTATCTTTTGAAGCTCTAACAGCACAGGAAAAAGAGCTCAAGAGAGAAAGAAAATCAGGTTTTGTGTGGAAATTATACTGTTTCCACATGACCATTCACAGCATGCAAACATAACAAAATTGAATGAGCTAGACCAAACCAACATAATTTTAGCATTTTTAAAATGCTTTCTGAAAATTCCACTGCAATAGGTCATTGTCCCAAAGTCAGCCAATAGGTTCTATCAGCAAGTCTCGATTTAAATCCTAGATCTGTAACACTTTAATCATTGACTTAGACCGATTGTATATGATCATTCAGAATAAGCCAAGTGTTTAGACCTTCAAATTGATGAAAGCAGACAAACGCAACATTTTAAATATAGAGTGCACAAAAGAGGTGTATTAATTATGTGATGCAGCAGTTGGAGAGAAGTTTGCAGGATGGGTTGACTGCATGCCCAGATACAATTTAAATGCAAGTAATATGCTTAGAACTTAAAATCCCAAGGGTGAAAGTTGGATTCATAAATCACAGCCATGCTCTTTTGTAATACAGTATCCAGCACTTGCTTAAGTAGAAAGCAAGTAGCTCATTGAAAGAAAGAAAAAAAGGAGAAAGAAGATCAGGAAGAGGGAGACAGATGAAATGTTAATTATTTCAGAATTAAGCAATATGTGGAACAAGCAGCTTGTGGTAGGATTTCCTATCATTTTAAGCTTGGTAATAGGAATAAGTTCAGATCTGCAATACAGACATTTTAATTCTATTCTACTTGTGCTATGGCTTCCATCTAAATGCTGTTTCCGAAAGCTCATACTTTCTTTGAAGGGAGAAAATGCAGCCTTGGATATAAGAGCCCAGGTTCTGGGTGGTGAAATAATTGATGGTTTTGAAAAGGTTTGCACTCTTCCCCAGCAATGCTGTCCTGATTCAAATTAGGTGTTCCTTTTTTTCACATCCTTGACTGTCTAATTTTTTAAAAAAACCTGACTGTGGATCCTCCACATCAAACATATAGTATGGTTTGTATGAATGGAAGATACTTCATACTTGGAGCCATTTTAAATCACATCCTGTAGCAGCTATCTCTGTGTGACAAATCATTAGTATTCATTTTATTAGTGAATAGAGCGGACTTCATATGTTGACCATCTGTGTGTACTTGACATAAAGAATGCTGTTGTCTTCTTCTCTCCCTTTCTTAATTTTTCTGATATTTGATTACTGTCTTTATGATGTGATTGGTGATATTATATTGTGATGACCTGGAGTGTAACACAAACGTAACAAAATCCAAAACGTAAATAAATGTCCTTTAATGCCTCCAACTTGGCCCCACTGTTCAATAATTCTCAGTTGGAGATAAAACTTATTCAAAAATAGTCTTCAAAAGAAAGCAATACAGTCTGGACTTAATGAGCAGATAAAGGTGAAATAAAAAACCAAAACAAACTACAATGAAGGAAATTCCACAATAGACTAGGATAAGTAATTACCAACTTCAAGGAGATAACAAGGCACAGTCTGTTGGAAGGATGCCAACCAAGATAACTTCAGCCCAAAATAAAACACGTTTTGCTTTTGGCGATGCTGTATTTTAACCGTCTCTCTTATATACTATTCTCCCCAGCTGCAACCAACGAGGGGGATCATGGCCACCTCTCGTAAGCAAAGTTGTTTCCTTCTCCGTTCCTCCCTGCATGTCCTAGGATGGAGAGGAGATGGGCCTGGTTCTTCCTCTGACTGCCCAGCCGGTCTCTGCCCTTCCTCAGCCTCCTCCACAACCTCCAGAGCCACACCTCCACTCCATGTTGGCTGTTCCTCCTCTCCCTCAGAGTCTGACTCTTACAAGGGCATGATATATATTTTGTGTTTCTTGGTAGACTGGTTAAAGGACTTTTCAGCTCATTGAACCCTTCATGAGGTTTAAAAACCCCAAATAATATTATATAAAAATAATTTAATAACTAATACTTTAAATAATAACCATGTTGATGAGAAAGACAAAAAAAGTTTGAATATTGGACATTGCAATACCTGGACATAGCAGAAGAGAAGAGAAAGAATGGATAAAATTAAAAAATATAAAGACCTGCAAATAGAAGTAGAACAACTGTGATAAAAGAAAGCAATGATAGTACCAATAGAATAGGACTCCTGAGTGCAATCCCAGAACATTTGGAGCATGACTTGAATGCCATTAGTATGACAAAACCACCATCAGTCAATTATAAAAGGCAGATTTCCATGGAACAGCTTATATCCTGCAACAGTACTTTTTACACTTCTAAACAATTTCTGCCTTTACCAAGTCCTTGGGAAGAGCTTGATTGGTGGATAAAAATACCAAACCAGTTTAAAAGCTGGCTGACTGTATGGCAAATCATAATAATGGATAGTCTCATCAAGCCTTGGTCATTATGGGGAACCCTGTGTTACATCTACAGTGTTTCTTGGGTTCAAATCTCTTAGTATAGAATGCTTCTTAAGGAATCAGAGATTTCTGTTTGCTGTATTTGGACGGGAAAATGTTTTTTATACATTGTGATACCTTAATTTATTTTCAGGATTTTATTGTTTGAAATCCAAGTACCATGAGATGGGGTGAGCTCCTTTTACTTGCCTTGGCTCCTGCCCACCTAGCAGTTCAAAAAGGATGCAAATTAAAGTAGATAAATACATACCACTTCGGTGGGAAGGTAGCCATGTTCCTTGTGCCTCAGTATATATCATGGCAGCCACATGACCACAAAGCATCTTTGGTCAATGCTGGCTCCCCCAGCTAGGAAATGGAAATGAGACCCATCTACATTTACGTTTACATTTTATTTGATTTTTCAGTCGCTTACAAGATACAGGTATAAGAATAAATATAGTTTTGAATACATGAGATAGATACTTATAAGAAAAATAAAAAACAATAGGACAGGGACGGTAGGCATGATTGGTGCGCTTATGCACGCCCCCTACAGGCCTACCTGTACCATCCTTATACTACCCCTACCATCCTCTAGAGACAGACACAACTGGACAGGGAAAATCTTTACTTTTATCTTTTCACTTTGTATAGAATAGGATAGATCCTTTCAGAGTTTTGTTTGTGTTACAGAATTCATTTAAAAATCAGCTAATATACAATAGTATATATTTGGAATTGTTTGATCCTTCAGGTTTGATTCAATGCCTTTAGAAATTATGTTCATACTTTATGATGGCATAATATTTCTGTTTCTTTACTCAAATAAAATATTTTGTATGACTAAACCATCTCTAATTTCCTCTGCTTACTTACACAGGAACTACCTCTTCAGACTTAGTCTACACAATGTTTCTCTTATTCAGGTATGTTCAGCCTTTTTCTGTCATCTACTTGTTCTGATTATAGAATTAAAAAGCTACATAGCATGTTTTTATAAAAACCAATAAACTATATAATAATGGTTATTACGAATGTGAATTGATAGACTTACGTAACCCCTGTTTTGAAAAAAAATAGTTGTGTTGCTTTGTTTTGTAATGTATTTTAAATGTAACATTTTTGTCATTTACAGCCATGTGTATTTTACTTTGAGAAGGTAGAGCTAAAGTATGAAAAATGTTCTTGCCCTTTTCTAGCTCAACACTTTAGCTTTGGTCTGTTGACTCAAAGAGGGATAGATGGATGACAAGAAAGGACAACGTGTTAAAAGCATGGAGGGTTTTGTGATAGATAGCTAGTGCAAGCTTAACTAAAACAATGTAAATACTGTAAATCCTTAGCTTTCCTTAATGCAACAAAGGTAGCTTCCAAAGGAGGTCTTCTCTGTTCTCGTTCATCATTGCTCTGAGCTTTTGTTGGCCCTAGTATGAACACAAAATGCTGAGGAGTGAGTTTTGCTAAGTTCCTCCGCTGCTCAACCTGTAAACCTTTCAGAAGGAAATGCTGTTCACAGTATATGTCATTCCTGTTCTGCCAACAAGGCCATAACAAAGTGTACCAAGAATCAGCGGTCTGAAACTTTCCTAAAGCTTGCTCTGACTTTTTGTTAAAATGATCACTATAACAACTGCAAATAGAGCTGGGTCAGCGTTTCTGTTATTTAAAGTCATGAAACTGTACGTGAGTTAAGCTGTGCATGTGACATATTCTATTGTTTGAGAATTATTGAGGTGATGTGCTTCAAGCAGGTAATCACAACTTGTATTCAAGTTTGTTGGATAGCTGTTGCAAAAGCAAGACAAAATCAGTATCAGTTTTGGGAGGTAATAGAGTTGGTTGCTCTAATGAAGAGGAAAAGGAGGCTGAATTAGAACAAGATGAGAGATGGTTTCTGAACATTGCAGTAAGATACAGAAGAAGGCAAAGCTACTCTATAATACCAGAAGAACACAATAGTGCTGTGGAAATTGAAATATTTATCTTTTTTTTTTTTTGCTTACTTGAACTGATTCTTAAATAACGACACAGATTCCAGCAATGTTAATTAAGAATTTGCTGTCACAAATTCTGTCACATTTGCTGTGAATGGGTTGAGGAAGAGGAATAACATTCTGTGTGTTCGCATACATAAAAAAAGTTAGTAGAGTTTCTTTAGCTGCTCATTTCAAAAGAATTACAAATCTACCACTGATTTAAAATGTTTTTCAAATAAGGGTATTCATTGAATAATTTAATCCTTAATGCAGGAAGATTTTTATTTATCTTTAGTTAAGAGATAGAAACAGTTCTTATATTTCTCTTGGTTACAATTATCAATAGCAGAGATACTTGCATGTATGTTCCATGAAAGTTATATATATTACTAACAGATCTTCCTCATAACTCATTCAAAGAAAAGTAGGAGTTGCTATTATCTAACTATAAACCTGAGTCTTGGAGATCTGGGATTTCTCTTAGCATAATTGAGGTCTCAAGTCATTCCATGTAGCCTTCCAACATTTTCTGTATAGCTTTCAATTTCTAACAATGAAGAATGGAACGGTTTTAAGAACATGAAGAACAGTCTTAACAATTGTATTTTATTTAATTTTATTCATTACATTTATAACCTGTCTTGTATCTAGAATCTCCTGGCAATAAACATCTCATTTTCTTCCTCAGTTTATTTTTCTCATACTACTTTGTTGGATTGAACTATCAAAATGGTATAAATAGTCCACCTGGTGGTTCTTAAACTGTTTGACACAATTAGTCCTTTTTTCAATCTCAGATAACAAAACATCAACAACCCTCCAAACAGACTATTGTTTTATAGAAGTGCCTGAGAAATACCTGTTCCAAAATGGATCCTTAACTCACAAACAAGCAACAACAAATTGTGTAACCTCAGGATATTCCTAAATTACCCTCAGTTTAACAGCCATTGCTTTAAGCTAGGGGTGTCAAACTCAAGGCCTGGGGACTGGATCCAGCCCACAGGGTGCTTAGATCTGGTCCACAGGACTGCCCTGGAAATAGCAAAGGACCAGCCCATAGGGTCTCTGCGTGCAGTCCTCCTGAGCTCTGTTTTCATTGTTTCATAGAGATAATAATTGGGCCAAAGTTATCCAAGGAGCATCCATGACTGAAGGTGGGATTAAAATCCAAGTTTTCTCAGTTTTCATTCTAACCTTTAAACATTACAACACTCTTGTACTTAGTTTAATATATTAAATCAGAACCAGTCTTTCTTTTGTGCCAGCGGCTTCCAACCTTTTAGGAACCAGGGACCGCTTCCGTGGAGAAAGATTTTTCTGTGGACTGAAGCGAGCATGGTTTTCTATGGTGCCTGCATTCAACAGATGGGGCTTCACTTGTTTGCGCTGTCTAGTTGTTGGCATGTCATGGATCGATGCTGGTCCACGGACTGCAAGCTGGGTCCCCCTTTTCTATGGTGCTTATTTTTTGGTGCTATATATAGTCTCCATCATGGTACAGCATGGTCAAAGGGAGCTCTTGGCTAGAAAAATCTTATGCTCTTATATCTTGCTTTGAAGGGTGGAATTCAGCTTGATAAGATCATCTGTGATTCAAGATCCGTTTTATAATTCTTCAGGGGAAGAGATCCATGACTATCCAGTTGTTGTGGAACATAATGTCCATCAGTCTGAACCCTTGATAATTTTTTTCTGGGTGTAATAATAATAATAAAAGATCACAACGGCAATCACGTTCACAAATTACACTTGTGAAAGGGGGGGAGTTTTAATCAAAAGGTTGGAGCTATTTTTGTTTTGTTTTTTAATTTAAACTATCTCCCTACCTGGATTCCAAAGTTCATTATATGTGGTTGAGGTAGATTTTGGCCCCAGGAAATCATTTAAGTCTTACAACATTGCTTGAAGCTCTATTTCTCTAGAACTAGTGAAGAGTATTAAAAGAAAGCAGATGAACTTCGCTTAAAAAAATCTTGTTTTATTAAAGGTTCTTGTTAAATTAAAGTGCATTTTATAAAACAATACCATATGATTTAAAATACAGTTGGATTGAGGCTTCTATTTTTTCTGCTGCAATATTCTAGTTTCTCTTGGGTGTTCAAAAAAAGCCTTGTTTTCAGGGCACTTCCAACACTAAGTCGAGCTTTCGTTTGTTCTCTCTCTTTATTTTTCTCTCTCTCTTCTGGAAAAAAAAAACCTTAAAGAGAAATAAAGCAGTTTCAAGCACATAGCTGTCAAAGTAAGTATTTTGAAATATAGCTGCTATCTATCAGAAACGATGTTAAAGCTAGGCCTGAGAGATCCTCTTTTTCTCCTTTAATCAGAAAGCTAACATTTTCTGCTATTTAGCATATGATAGTCATTCATCATACTTGCTGTAGTTATTTATCCTCTGTGTCACTGTGGTGGGGTGGGGGGAAAACTTCATACCTTTGAACAAAGAAGCAGTGTTATTTGCCACAGAATGTTCCTTTTTTTTTTTTGTTCTAGACAACAGTCAGGACTGCGGTTGCTGTGGAATTTCCAGCGCCGCAGTTACATTCTGTGATGTGGGTGTTAATTTTTTATCTCGTGAAAATGTCACTGCGAAACGTATTTGCTTTTTTATTTTATTTTTAAATCATAGGACATCTCTGACTTTAGCTCCTACTCTTCCATATTGATGGGAATATACCAGTGGTGGGATTCAAATTTTTTTACTACCAGTTCTGTGAGCATGGCTTGGTGGGCCTGGTGTGACTTGGTGGGTGTGGCAAGGGGAAGGATACTGTAAAATCCCTATTCCCTCTCCACTCCAGGGAAAGGATACTGCAAAGTCCCCATGCCCTCCCCACCCCACTAACCTGCTTTCCAGCAGCATTCTCCTGTGCAGGGCAACAAAAGAAGACCCAGCCGATCAGCTGGGATTCGGGAGGCAGAGAATAGATGGGGGCGGAGCCAGTCAGAGTTGGTATTTGCCGGTTCTCTGAACTACTCAAAATTTCCTCTACCGGTTCTCCTGAACTGGTCAGAACCTGCTGAATACCCACCTCTGGAATATATCATACATCTCAAATTCCTAACAGAAAATGAAACACATCCTGCACACTTTCCTCAATGTACTGAGGCTTTTAGGAGGGTTCAACCCTAATCCTCTGAATTCGTACAAAAAGGCTTTTTACTGTAGGCTCCACAATTAAGAGTTTAGTGGAAAAAGTGCTTTGAAAACAACATCCTCCTAGCATGTTTTTTAAATGATAAAATTTGAATTGACTGAGTAAAGTGTGTTTTTAATGTGTATAAAACTGAGCAGGCGAGACCTCAAATTGGTAGTCCAGAGTGATACATGTAAAGAGAGGTTCTCTGGTACATAATGATGTTCTTTCCTTCTGTACATCAGCCCACATCCTCTTAGTTCTTGATGATCACCTATTGGTGGGAGGGGCTGAAGCATGGGTGGGTACAATCTACTCTGTCTCTCTTTGACATCTTTCTTTTTTTTTCCTTCTGACATCCTCTTCTCTCTCTCTTTTTTTTCCCCTTTCTTTCTCATCCCCATACATGCTGAGGGAAGGATCGATCACTCCTGCCAAAGTTCCTTGCAAAAGGATTTTGAAATTAGGCTGAGAAATAGTAAGTCTGATTGATTTCAGAAAGGTTCGCTCTCTTGTAAATGTGCTCGGGATACAGCAGCCAAGTGATTGTATGAAAAAGATGGAGCTTCTTGAAGGTGCTGTAGACAAATACTGCATTCGTACCACATTCATCTCTGTGCATGTTCCTTCATTCACTCACTCACTCACTCACTTCATTCACTCGCTCCATTCATTCATTCATTAAATTTATATAGGTGCTGAATTAAAGTGCAACTCTGGGTACCTAGCAATAAATACAACAAATTTCATAATGATGGAAAATAAACATGCTTATATGCCTATCTGGTCATGCCTATATGACCAAAATTCCAC